TGCATGCTCCGCTCCTTCCCATTCCTCGACGTGAAGCAGGCCGTCAATGGCATCATGCGGGGGGACAAGTTCTATGTGTTTTTTCACCACCTTGCCAAAGCGTTTGGCAGCATCAGCCCGAGGAACAGACACCGCGATGACTCGAGAGAGCTTTGTGTGAACAAATGCCATGTAGCCGCGCTCGAATTCCATGTCTGTGACGGGCAAAGTACCAGATCTCGTGTTGGCGGAGTCTCCGGCAACATAGCCTTCCATCAAGGCCATACACGTCTTTGAGAGCGGTCCAAACTGGGACAGGATATACCTGCCAGGATCTGTCATCTGGCTGCCGGCATCATCTGCGGCAACGTCTACCTTACCTGGTCCCATCTGCTTGATGCATGCTTCCATCGACTGCAATACCTCGGGAATACACTTGGTCTCAGGACTGCTCCCGCCATGTTGCAACGTATTCTGAAAGAACTCGCCACCTTGCCACAAAGCATAGCGTGCTGGGCCTTTAGCTTGCCGCAGCTGGCTCGGTTGCTGTCTCGACTTCGCTGAGCTGACCGGAGGGGAGTACATCTGGTTCACATGACGGCCGAGAATGCGCCAAGTGCCCCCGACTTTCGAGGCGGGCCCATCATAGAGACGCAGAAAGCTGGGAGGAAGGTAGAAGTCCGAGATTTGGCTGTGCTGTACGTCCTCCAACCCGCTTTGCTTTTGTCCAAGGCTCAAGTTGAACCACGAGGAAGAAGAGCTCCTGTCCTGGCCAAATCCCTGGACAGGGTATGCTGTCTTCATTTTCAAACCTTGCGGGTCGACATGATAGACTTTGACATCGGAGACGCGGATCGGAGTGCCTGAAGTGTTCAAGAAAGACTTGGCAGCAAAGCGGGCCGCTGTCGCCGAATAGTCGCAGCCCTCCTTCGGCTTCATGGTGTGGGTGACGAGCACATGCTTTCCGTTCCTTGCATGCATGAAATGGCTCTGAGGAGATACTCAAATCTAGAGCCCTACAATTTCATAAACATGCTGTGTGCTCTCTGCTTCGTCAGCCAAGTCTCCTCATCAAGGAATCTTCATCAAGATG